ACTATAATCCATTACTGCAGAACCTTTCAGCTAGCTTCCTATCTAATGTTGACGGATTTTTATTGCCGCCGCGCAGAACCTGGCTACCTGCGCTGTAAAGTAGGGCCGATCATCCGTGAGAAGCATTTGAAGGTAATCTGATTCTTGACAGCCAGGCTACTTGCTGATCAAGAGAGCAAGCAATTTACTCTTGGTAAAAGGTACAATGGAGGAGAACATGACCCATGTCTTCTACTCCCTTGGCATCACAAGGACAAAGTCTTGCAGCTAATGGGATTTTTTTATATTTACCGTCCAGCACCGCTGAAGGAAGACCACGGCAACGAGCTAAGGAGAATGCTTTTCGATGACTGGGGAGCTCAAGCTGCGCTAGATATCTAGCAGCAGTGACAGTAAACTTGCTGCATGGCAGAGATAAAAAGGATGGAACCTTCCCTAAATCTGCTTGTTGTTCTGTATCCTCTGTCCTTTGCTTTATGGCCATTCTTGCCTGCTCATATTCCATCACTAGAATCCCAGCCATAGAATAGCCTAACTCAGAGAGGTTGAGTTCGATGTCCTTTTTCCACAAGGATTGAAATTTATCCTGAAGGATAAGTGGAGCTAGGCCCTGCAGGTAGTACTTTATTTTTAGCCAAAAATTCAGTGAAGCTAGGCACACTTTCAACTCGACCTTTATTGTGCCTGTTTCCAAGCGTGGTTGTGCATTAGGGATGCATCTGGGCATTTGCAGAACTGCCCTAATGAATTTAGATTGTACTCTTTTCAAGTATGTCACACTTGAAGCTGGAGAGCCAACGACAGACCTATAGAGAAGTTGGGCTAGCGCCTTTGCCTGGAAAGGTTTGAGAGCTGCTGGGACAAAATACCCCCCTTTACTTTGAAAAAATTTTAAAATGGCATTGGCGGAATGAAGACCTAAATCAGCCGCATATTTGCAATGAGCTCTCCTTGATCCGGAGGCATGCATGATTACACCTAAATATTTAAAACTATTCACTTGTTCTATTCTATGACCGTTAATAGTCCAGAAGTGTTGTTTTGATCTTTTAGAAAAGGCCATAATCTTTGTTTTCTGATAGTTTATATCTCGAAGATTGTTTGCACAGTATTGGACCAGAGTTCTCAGGGCTCTTTTTAGA